CTACACATTCAATCTTAAAACTCAACTTTAACAGCACAACAGTTCAGATTTCAACACACATACACCTCATACAATAAAATCAGAAGAAAACGTCTAGCTCCCCTTACCTGGAAGTCAAACAATATATTCAACTAGAGTGCCCTAGCCGTGCCCCTCACAGTGAGAACCCAACAGTGCTCTACAACCACCTAAATGGTGAAGAAAACAGCTCTTAGAGCTAGAATCGACAGGGAATCAAAAGGAAGTATTAGCCAGCTGCATGCAACCAGTAAAGTTGCATGCCCTAGATTCAAGAAAATGGAAAAACCAACTTACCCGTTCAAATCGGAATTTTAATCGGATGAATAGGAAGCCCTCAACTCCGTGAACGAAAGAATACCACCTATTTGAAATTCCAACGGTGGGAAGTGGTGGAAAGGTAGAGAGAAGTCAGAGCAAGAATAGGGAAATGGAACTGAGTTTAGAGAGAGAAAGAGGAAAAGTAGAATGACTAATCTGAGGTTAGGGAAAAGACCCTTGCTAAAGTCAGGTTCCCTTAGTCTGGGCCTGGCTGCCCCCAACTAAGGCCCAGTAGCCCCTTTTTATTTTTCAGGCCCTTACAAATATTAATAAGTTTAAAACGTTAACTTATTTTATCAAATATTATTATAAAGGTAATAATTAATAAATAAATTAAATTTTAAACTATTGAAATAAACAGTATTGGTGTTTAAGACAAAGCATGTAATATCTGATATTTTGAAAATAAATTATTATGCGGTGGTTCTTCTTCCTTTTTGGGTAAAGGCCAATTCAGTTCATCTTCATCAAAGCAAATAAAACTTTACATGAAGGTTCCAATCATAATATTGTCTACTAAATGAAAACAAAAGACATAATTAGGTTTAAATCCAAATATGGCATTAACCAATTTTTTTGGACAAGTGGGTTGTCAGCTTGCTCTGGGACATGGGACATGTGACATGGGACATGTGGGGTTGTCATGGTGATCCTAGGATCAACCAATTTTAAGATAATATTTGTCAGAAAAGCCACGTTTCATATGCATAGAATAGAAGAAGTCTTTTTTGTCAACTAATTTTTGTATTTTTATATTATTTACATGATAAAACTTAACTTATTAGGAATATGTTTTGATAATTAACTGTTTCTTTAAAATATGAAATTATCTATATAATATGCCTTTAAAATCTTAAAATGGTATATGTTAAATAATTTTAATAATTAATTCTGATTAAATCGCTCAATATATTGATATTATAGAAATATTGATTTATTAATATAAATATTAACGTATTAACTGAATACTAAATTATTTATTAATTGTATAACAAATTGATTATTAATAGTTATTTTTAAACTTTATTATTATGAAGAGTGATAATACAAACGCATCTGTGTTATTTTTTTATGATAATAAAAAATAATAAAATAATAATAATTATTTTAAAATTAAATCTAAATAATTTTTATAATTATACTGTAAATAATTTTTGTTTACTTTGTATGTAGTCTTATAATTAAAAAAATGATTAATTTTTAAAAATTAATCAAATCAAATAAAAGGATTAAATTTAAAAAAAAATGTTACTTAAAAAGATAAAATTAAAAAATAATTATTTTAATTTAAAAAAATTATTTGAAAAGATAAAATTAAAAAAATAATTATTTTAATTAAAAAATTTATTTGAAGAACAAGTTGAAAAATAAATATAAATTTCTTTTATATATATGAATAGATTATGTTGCAAAACATGTAAATAAAAAACTGTTTAAATAAATTCATGAAAATTAAAATTGAGATACTTTCATAATTTATGTATTCTATAACTCTGTTTATTTATTTTTCTTCGTAAGATATTTATAAACATTATAGAAAACGAACATTATTTAGTTAGACATTTACTATTGATAAAAAAGTAGTAGTAATTCTATTTACCTTTTTTTTATTAAAAACTACATGAATATTTGGTATACGGACCACGTATAAAAGGATTTTTTATACCAAATAAAGTTTGTTGTTCTTTTTATCTCTGATTTTAAAACATGTGGTAAATGGAATTTATAATTAGCAAATTTTAATTTGTTATAAAAGTTAGATAGTTACCCATTTCGAATCAAAGTTTTATATGATGATATGCTGAGTGAACTTGCTCATTGAATGCCAACCACTAATTCATCAATATATTTCTAATTTTAATAAAGTAAATAATTTTCTTATTATCCTATTCTCACTGACTGCAAAGTGTGGTCACGGTTTATGTATTTCCACGGGTAATTTCAACCACAAGTTTATTAAGATATTTTAATGAATTTTTTTATTAGTTAATTATTTATATAATTGCATTTACTTTAAAATAAGAATTTTCAAAAATAAAGGGTCTTAAGCTTGTTGCTTCCCTACCAAAAATAACTTCTATTAATTTATTTTACTGTAAGAGTTAAAAAAATTGTATTTTGAAATTAATATGTATGGATAGAATTACGAGATTCAAATATTTTAATAATAAAAATTTAAAGTATAAATAGAAATTTTGTAAACAAATTTTATTATTTTAAATTTTATTATTTATCTAAAAACTTTATTCTTTATAACTCTTTCTTTCCTCTAAGGGTTTTAACCATTCATTTATTGGTTTGATGTTAGTTTCTTAAATGAAGTAAGTTAGTTGCCTATTCATTTTTTTTTAGTCGGTGCGTTTTTTGTGTATGCGAACAATTTTAGTTTGTATGCGGAGTCTGAGTCTTCTATAAGAATTTATGTTGATTAATGGTCTTAATGATGTGTCTTGATCGTGTTTTCTTGTCATATAAGTTGTCCTAGCTTTGAAGTTGTTTAGGATTTCTAAAGTTGTTTGGTAATCTTTCAGGTAAGAAAAACTAATTACCTTATTTTAGAATTTTAGATGCTTTAAGAATATTAAAATGCATGTTTGATCTATATGAGGTTGATTGATTTTTTATATTGGTGGTTGAATTGTTGAGTAATCTAAATCTGTGATGGTTATGTATTGTTTGAAATTGTCTGAATTGGTGTTGAATCGAGGAACTAATGATCTAACCATTTGAGCAAGTTAGTATGCCCTTTGACATTGAAAATTGTTTTTGAACTAAGCACTAAATCAAGACTACCAATTTGATCATCCAACATGTCCTTGGTTTCCTAAATCACATAATAGAGTTTGTGGTTATATATTATGGCGTTGAGCAGTATGTATGTTGAGCGCAAACACTAAATTTCTACGCATGTTTAATATGGATTTTGATATTTCATGGATTAATAACATGGTTGTGAACATGTATGGTGAATGTTGTGAAAGGAATTTCAAAGAGAAGTTTCTTGTATGGTTTCAATAGTGTATGTATTGATGTATGAATTTTGTATTAGGATGCTCCAATAATCATTTATTCTCAAGTAGAGAAGGGCGGAGTATGTGATGAGAGAAGCAAAATGTCTTAGTTTAGAAACTTTACCTTGGCTAAAAATGGAAACAAACTAACCTTGTGTGCGATAAGGTGAAAATCTTATGCGATTGCTCAAGTAGATTTGAAGAGATTTAAATGTCAAAAATTACCAAAAAATAATGAACAAAGGATCCATACGTAAAAGATGAGATGTAAAAAGATATAGAATACAAACACGGCTGAAGACAAAAAAAATCTTTTACATATTTGATTATGAATAAGACATTAGAATCCAAGATGAAATATTAAAAATAATAATTAATTTTCTAATATTAGGATGGATTTTGATATATATATATATATATATATGAATTATTTTCTTTTCTTATATATATATTAATAATTAATTTATATATTATATATTTAAAATAATAATAATAATAAGAAAACAGTATTAATAAAAAAATAAATTATAATAATAATTATAACAATAATATTTTGCAATTTTAAATAATAATTTCAATTTTATTTTAACATATTTTTGTACTATTTTTATTTAATTTTATATTATATTTATTTGTAGGAGATAAATTACAATCATCTAATTTAATCTATTAAAATATATATATATTTAGTTTATCATACATATCAAATCATTAAAAAACTTTCACAAAATGTTATCTCAAATCACAGTATGTTTTCTTAATCTAAATAACACCACGATATCCTCCTAAATATATTAAGAATTTTCGTGAAATCTCCTCCACAATCCAAAACCAGAAAGCAATTAATTAGAGGAACAAGAAATAACATATATGAATATAAAGTAAGCACTTAAATAATAGATTTATATACTTTTGAAAGAAAAAGGAAATAAGAAAATAAGTTGTTGGTTGAAAGTAGTTATCAACCTTATTATTATTCTTAGGGTCCTAGCAAAAAACAATAGTAGGAAATGGACGGAGAGGAAAGTTGATTGCATATATTCCATTAGGCACCTACCAGTCTTGCCACCACAGGCTTGGTTAACCTAACAACTTTAGGTCTAACTATCACAGGCTTTGGAGACTCCATGGAATTCATAGCATGCTCATTCTCAGACAACCATGGAGATTCAACACTAGACATGCTACTACTTCTCACAACCTTCTTCTTTTCTTCTACCTTCTTGCTCAAATACGTATTCCAGTACTTCTTTATCTCGTCTTCACTGCGTCCTGGTAATCTTCCTGCAATCATTGACCATCTGTGCCACATATTTTATTTTTTTATTAATATTTTTTAACAAATATACAATTTGAATTAGGATGTGGCAATCTAGTTTTTTGCAACTACTTATATAATAAAAATAAATAAAAAATGAAATTAATTTAATTATATACATTTTTTATTTTTATATTGTCTCGTAAATATAATAATTTATATTACATTTATAAGTATATCAGGATTTGAAAAGAATACTATTGAAAAAGACAGAAGAATAACTTGGATTGAAAAAGAATACTCTTGTCAAAACCACTTTTGAACAAAATTTGTTTCTTTTTCTTACGATTCCTAGTGCTTCTTCTCATTATCAGAAAGCACTTCCAGAAACGCACTGGAAAAACAAAGGTAGCTTACACTGGCTTAAAATTGAGGTTAATTGAAAGAAAATGGAGAAGAAAAAATCAGAAAAGCAATATATATATATACCTATTCCCCAAGAGTTTGTGCAGTCTGATGATGAGTTCCTGTTCATCCCAAAGAAAGTTGTCTCTGGGGATGGTTGGCTTGAGATAGTTCAGCCATCGATGTTTGCAACTCTCACCACATCTTTTCAACCCTATTCGGCACAAGCGAAAGAGAATCAAAATTCAGAATTTTCTTTTTGAAAAAGATGGTAATTCTTTGCATATATGTACCAGCTCTTTCGGGAAGGTCTGTCCAATTTCCTTCTCCAGTGAGTTCAACGTACTTGAAGAGGATTTGGTCTTCATCAGAAGACCATGCTCCTTCTTTTTCACAACAGTTCTTCGGTTCCATGGGCAACTCAAAATGCAGAATCTTTCTGTCTGTTTACTCAATTTATAAGTGTAGAGAAAGAAAGAGTCTGAAACCGAAGAAGGTCACTTCAGTTCACTTTTATATTTATTTCACAAGAGTATAAAAAAGTAATTTTTTGTATTATTTTTAATAAAATTAACATAAAAAAGTTAAATAAATATAAAAAAAATTATATGTGTCAAAATATTTTTTTAATCAATTACACTGTTAAACTGGTCTACTCGTGTTTGGAAGTGTTTGGAAGTTTGTCAGTGTTCTCATTCTAACTTTTGTGTGTCATACCAAAAACTGATAAGCTCACAGATAAATGGTGCAACAGAAGCCACACTATACAGTTGCCAATTTTTGTTCTTAAATAATATCATTTTAAAAAAATTACACAATTTGACCTAGGTATACATTATTTATTCAAATAGATTTTTTTTATTCATTATTACAATTGGAATTTCGAAAAACTAAATTATGACTTTCATCTTGTATCTTAGTAAAGTAAATGAGTAAAAAGTAGATAAAAAATAAAATAAAATAATAATAATAATAGAATGACACACTTTTATATGAAGGTAAAATAGTTATAAATAAATTAAGTTTATATTTTGTCAAGAAAAAAAAATAAAAAAAAGATAATATTAAATAAATATAAAAAATTGGTGTGTATTCAAGTTTTATTTCTCAATAAAAAAAACTATATGACTTTTAATTAACTCTCTCATTTCTTTTCTTTCCAACCAGACAAGTATAACTATTTTTTTATTTGCTCTCATTTAATTCTATAAATAACCAAATAAAATGACAAGCATGGTCATCTCATCGATCACGTCTAATGTTTTATTAAATAAACCATGTATCATTAAAATGTAACATTTAATTTATACGGTACTTAAGCCAACTAATGAAGAGGGACCTTGCAAAATTGTGAGAACAAAGAATACTTTTTAGAAAATTTCATTAGATTAAAATACATCCTGTCCTGCCATTTATGTAAAGAAAAAATTCTGTTTCTATAATATTTTTATAAAAGAAGCAGAAAAGAAAACAATATTAATGCGAAATAAAATAATATATAGTATAATTAAATATAAAAATATATTTGGAAAACTAAAAGAAAATGTATTTTATAGTGAAAATGTTAACTGATTGCTATCGTGTCAGATAAAGTTGTTGACTTGAAAAGTAAAAGATAAAATTTAAAAAGTTATCATACAAATATAATAAAAGTAATACTATATATATATATATATATATATATATATATATATATTGTGTATTTAGATCAAATTAAAATAATTTAATCAAGTACTTATAAAACATAATTATTTAATTGAAGTTTTATGTTAAATGTTTTTTATATTTTATGTCAAGTTCAAATCAGGTAGTTTAAAAAAAATGTTTAAATCCTCAATGAAATTAGTACAATTAAATAATATAATTGACCTTTACAGTGATTAATTTATTTTCTTAAATTCTGGAAGAAGTATATTTTAAGGATCTTGGTAGTAACTAGTGTTTTCAAGACACCAGTCGAGGATTTCTAGAAAAATATCATAAAATCATATTAACTAGAACATGCTTTTACGCGTTTTTTTTTTTGTTTTTTTTTATCTTTTAATTAACTAGTACTATTTTTTGTAAAAATTACAGTCCTTATAAAAAAAGGGTTTTATATCTGTGTCATGTGGAGGAATTCAATATTAAAAAAATGACATGTTTTATGATAAGATTCCTGTAAATATGTCAATTTATTATTATTATTTGTAGCTGTCTTATTGTTATAGGTTTATTCATCTTCATAAATAATCACTACTGTATAGTATGAAATATTAACCGAGCGGTTACAAACAACCAACCGGATATTTAGGTAATCTGTTTATATCTTATTCTGTTTATATTTTATTGGGCTATATCAGCTCAGGATCCATGAGGTAAATTATAAATACAAAGCCAGGGCCAAAAGCCAGGTACGTTTCACTTACGCATCATTCACTAAATATTCAACCAAGAGCCGAGGCTCTTCAAATCAACGCCTAACTTGAGCGTCGGAGTACCTTTTGCAGGTACATCCACCCCCGTCCAAAAGGAGACCGATCGGCTTGCGCCAACACCGATCGACCAGCAGCTGGAGTTTGGAGGCGAGCGAGCAGCCCCGACACATCAACAGTTAGTTTCTCGGTCCCAAAACTTTCCACTGAAACATTTTGGCGCCCACCGTGGGCCGAGCGGCAACCCAAATGGTGACCACGAGGAGCATGGAGGAAGAACACGACCAGAGATTTGATAGCGCAGATGCAGGCGCAAATACAGGCACAAGCCAGAACCATACAAGCACAGACGCACGCACAACAAGAGATGCAACGAAGGCACGCAGAAGAGATTACAATGTTGAGAGCAGAGCGCGGTCGTGCCGAACAGTCCGCGCAGCACTCGGAGTCTACAGCCGATCGGGTAACAACCGACACAATGATAACGCTGGAAGTCGTACTCAGCAGCCATCTCGGCATACTGACCCGAACGATCGGGGAAGAAGGGAACCTCCCTTACGAACCGATCGGCCCTCCAGTCTGCTCCTTTCACTGCGGTCATCATGCAAACTCCAATGCCAGAAGGAACCCTCCTGTATTGGATAAGTATGATGGCTCGACAGATCCCGACAATCATCTCAGGATTTTCACCAATGCAATGGTGTTCTACCGGACAGTGATCCGGTTATGTGCAGAGCCTTCTCCTTATCACTCAGGACGAAGCATTAGAGTGGTATAACACTCTTCCCCCAAACACAGTGGATTGCTTCGCCACTGTGGAAAACCTTTTTAAAAGGCAATACGCCTCCAATCGTAATCAGGAGGTAACGCCCGCGGAATTGGTAATACTAAACAGGAAAAGGGAGAAACTTTGAAGGCCTTTATGAAAAGGTATATGGAAACTGCACGACGAGTCAAAGAGGTAAGTCAATCTTTTATCATCACCAATTTGCCTTCCTGTCTAAAACCAGGGTACTTTGCTGAGAAATTGTATGCACGACCGCCAAAAACAATGGAGGAGCTCCAAGAACGGATAGCCGAATTCATCCGCATGGAGGACATGCGAATTTCACAACGAAAGCGACAACAAGAAACTGAGGCAAGTGGAGGGAGGAAGGACGGTAAACGACCGTTCGGCAATAATGGTAAAAGCGGGGAGCTTTCCCGAACATTTAAATTTAATCACTATACACCCCTAACACACCTAGGGCAAAGTTCTTGAAGAAGCTCTAAACGCTGAACTTCTCACACTCCAAACGAAGCCATCTCCAAGAACGCAGATGAAAGGAAGAGTTGTCATTTCCACCAGAATCGGGGGCATACCACAGAAGAATGCATTACGCTGAAAAACGAAATAGAACGTCTCATTGGGCAGGACACCTCCGTAATTACATACAAGAAACAAGAAGTCCCGAACGAGCGTATCGGAAGAACGAACGCAGACGAGACTATAGTCGCAGTCCTGCTCGTCACGTGAACGATCGGTTCGCGGAGTTATAAACTGAAGATAGCAATCCAAATCTCTATTTAATGTCATCTTTAAATTTTTGATTTAGACTTTTGTTATTAAACTTTCGTTGTGCAATGAATAAAACCGAGCAATTCACGCTCGATCATCGGTTACCAATGTCGATCAAGATTTCAACCAACAGAGGTAAAACCCTCTCAAAGCCGAACGGTAAAGCCCGTTCCCTAGGAACACTCCTAGGTCGGAGACCGAGCGGTAAATCCCCCTCGGGAGAGAGGTAAACCCTCTCAACGACGAACGGTAAATCCCGTTCACTAGGAAACAATCCTAGCTCAAACAGAGGTAAAACCCTCTCAACGCCGAACGGTAAAGCCCGTTCCCTAGGAAGCACTCCTAGGTCGAAGACCGAGCGGTAAATCCCTCTCGGACAGAGGTAAAACCCTCTCAAAGCCGAACGGTAAAGCCCGTTCCCTAGGAAGCACTCCTAGGTCGGAGACCGAGCGGTAAATCCCCCTCGGGAGAGAGGTAAAACCCTCTCAACGACGAACGGTAAATCCCGTTCACTAGGAAACAATCCTAGCTCAAAACAGAGGTAAAACCCTCTCAAAGCTGAACGGTAAAGCCCGTTCCCTAGGAAGCACTCCTAGGTCGAAGACCGAGCGGTAAATCCCCCTCGGAAGAGAGGTAAAGTCCTCTCAAAGACGAACGGTAAATCCCGTTCACTAGGAAACAATCCTAGCTCAAAACAGAGGTAAAACCCTCTCAACGACCGAACGGTAAAGCCCGTTCCCTAGGAAGCACTCCTAGGTCGAAGACCGAGCGGTAAATCCTCTCGGGAGAGAGGTAAAGCCCTCTCAAAGACGAACGGTAAGTCCTAGGTTAAAGTTGAAGGTCGAGAGTAAACCCCTCTCGGTAAATGTGGAAGGTCGAGAGGTAAATCCCTCTCGGTTAATGTTGAAGTCGAAGGTAAACCCCTCTCGGTTAAAGTCGAAGGTCGAGAGGTAAATCCCGCTCGGTTCATGTTGAAGGTCGAGAGGTAAACCCCTCTCGGTAATGTGGAAGGTCGAGAGGTAAATCCCTCTCGGTTAATGTCGAAGGTCGAAGGTAAACCCCTCTCGGTAAATGTGGAAGGTCGAGAGGTAAATCCCTCTCAGTTAATGTGGAAGGTCGAGAGGTAAATCCCTCTCGGTAATGTCGAAGGTCGAGAGGTAAATCCCTCTCGGTTAAGTAGAAGGTCGAGAGGTAAAGCCCTCTCGGTTAATGTCGAAGACAGAGGTAAACTCCTCCTCGTTCCTGTTGAAGACGAGCTGTAAATCCAGCTCGGTTAATGTCGATCGTCGAGCGTCGATCGTCGAGCGGTAAAATCCGCTCGCTTGTTGTCGAAGACCGAGAGGTAAAATCTCTCGATTCCTGTTGAAGGACGAGCGGTAAAACGCCATCGGTCTGTCTTTACATGGAAAAAGTTCTAAAAAGAACTCTCTTCAACCACCGACAAGAGCGGCAGAGGCTCACCATAC